ACCCAAGTGGAGACTTTCCTCTTATTTGAATCATTGGAAGATGGTGTCTTCAATACACCAATTGCATGCTGCATGAATCTTTATGCCAAAGTCCTCCGGCTACATCTTGAGCTAATATGTAGGCAAAGAGAGTAATTTCCAATTTTGTGAAAAAGAGATCGGTCCGCTAGTTTGATTGTAAAAATCGTGAACCGATTTGGCGACCAGTTTGACTTTAGCTTAATAAACGAAAACAAAGAAATTAGTAAAAAATCGACAAAATGACCGATTCAACCAAAAATCGGAGACGATTTTACCGAGTTTTCGACTAGCTTGCAAAAAAAAAAAAATAGATAGAAGCTATCAAATGCACATATATGAGAAGAAGAAGCTACGCACTAACAGATCCAGCACTCGACGAGCATCGGTGGCTGCATGTGCTGGGTCCGCTGATATGTAATTTTTTTATTTTTATTTTTTTGTGTCAACGTATATATTTGTTTGGATATATAGCTGTAATTTCATATATTGTCAAGCCAATCGTTGCTCAGTTGGTTGAGCACATGTTTGGTAATTAGGAGATTTTGAGTTTGATTCTCTACCAGAGCAATCCATCGTACAATTATTTTAATTCAGTATTTTTCACTATTTTGAAGCATAAATATTAAAATCATTACAAGGGAAAGATTCGAACCTATGATCCTCTTTGAGAATATAGAAAGTTTGCCCATTTTTCCATTTGTTGAATGTTAACATTAATCATATGTTTGATGGGAATTAAAATCAGATTTTTCGTANGAATATTGAAAGTTTGACCATTTTGACATTTGTTGAATGTTAACATTAATCATATGTTTGATGGGAATTAAAATCAGATTTTTAGTAGATTTTCATAAAAGTTGATCAAATATGTAATTAAAAAGTTTCCGATCTCATAAAATGTGTAATTAAAATTAATTATCAACTTTTAACTTAAATTAAAATTTGAATTTCAATATATACCAAACAGATTCCAAATGTAATAGAAATATATATAGGCTCAATTGGAAAAAACATTATTACCATTTGGTTGTTCAATTGATATCGGATTGACTAGCCTTTGATACAAATTTTCGACTGAAAAATGATAATCTGTATTCGCCTTTGGTATTGGTATGTTTTTACCGTTATCAGTTATTTTCAGCACTTCTTTCGTGTCCAAATCAACGACAACGGTAAGCCCTTCAATAGGCCTCTTGTAAAAGTTGGCAGTGTCTTTCATAGAGTAGCATTGCACTTTGATCAACCTTTGGCTCTCCTCGGCCTTCCCTATAGAAGAAACAACGCGCCTAAAACTCAACTTTAACATCTTAACGTCACATTCATCGCAAAACATTAGTCAATTCATATGTAAATTAAGCCCCTGTTTGACAAACATTAAAGAGTGGTTAGAAGAAAATGTGTTGAAATGGTGATTCTTTGAATAAGGTGGGTTAAAAAGTAAGAAAAAAGAATTCGAATTTACTTACAAAATGTTTTTTATAGGGTGAATGTGTAGTTGAAAACGAATTTGAGAGACAAAGAATTCAAGTTTCGGTCACTTTCTTGGCTTTTCTCCGAATGCTAATGGCTTGTGCCCATTATTTGCATCACCATATACCTTGGGTTCCTTGCTATTGCATGATTGTAGATGAAGCACATGAAAACGAGAAAGTTTTTAAATTTATCTCCTTTAGTTGACTTTTCTGGGAAAAGTATAAATTGTTAGCTAACATACGTGTACAATAGTCATAACATTGCAGTTACACCAGGACAATGCCAAAGCAGTACGAGAAGAAAGTAATAAAAGAACCATCAAAGTCCCAAAACTCTCAGTGAGTAAAATTGTAGCATGCACGTCAAAAATAAAGACACCTGATGCTATAAAAAAAAATTTTAATGCATACAAGTGCCAAAAGTATCAAGTAAAATAAGGCCAAATTAACTTCTGGGCAGCTACTCATTGATTGCACACAGGGACGGACCCAGCACCCGGCGAGGGGGCGGCCGCCTGGGCTGGATCCGCCGGAGTCTTCAAAGTTCAAGCCGCCGGTCACTGTTGCAGAGAGAATGGAGAAGACTGGGAAGAAGAAGAGCTATTTCAGTCCTGGGCCCTTTTTTTTTTAAGTTTTGACCAGTTTATTTGGGCTGATAGTTGGGCCTTTTTTAAAAATTAGGCCCAATAAAATGAAATAATATGGGAAAAATTCAGTTTTCATACTTTATCTTTACCCTATTTCAAAAATAACAAAACAACTTTCACATTTCAAAAATCAGATATCTTAACCTATACATACACATATATATAAATATTTAT